TGACAGACGGGAGCTCACCCATGCTTTCCACTGAGAAACTGCGTCGCTTCTGGTGTGAGAGAATGGCCGTCTGCAAGGATGTTTTGGTATTTTCCCATCCTTGTGGGAGGCTTCTCTTGCCTGGGGAGCTGGAGCTGACAGACGGGAGCTCATCCGCACTCTTCCCTGAGAAACTGCAAGTCGCTTCTGGTGTGAGAAAATTGGTCATCTGCAAGGATGTTTTGATGTTTTCCCATCCTTGTGGGAGGCTTCTCTCATGTCCCCACATGGGGAGCTGGAGCTGACAGACGGGAGCTCGCCCGCACTCTCCCCATCTGATTCACTTGAACGTCGCTTTTGGGTGCCTTAAGAGAGGAAGGCCCCTTTCGCCCACGTTTGAGGTGTGTTACTCATTTTCGGGAAGGAAAGCCGACACGCAAATGTCACATGAATGCGGAACCAACCTCGGAACGACAGACCAGGTTGGTGGGGAAACATGAAATGCAGAAGTCCCGCATGATGACGCTGGAAATCTCAAAGGCTGTGCAAGACCACACTGGGTTCAGTGCTTGAGATTTGTCAGTTGGGTTGACTGATGCCTTGGATGGCCATCTGTCCAGAGGGATTAATGGCGAGCCAGCCAGGGGCCCCTGCCTTGAAGCGGATCTGACCTGCAGCAGGGAGTTCCGCAGTTCTCCATTGCCAGCTTGGGCCAGCATCCAAGGGAATGTGGCCACAGCAGCATCTTCAGCCAAGGACTCTCCTTCTGCTTTACTTCCTTCCCCTCCCTAACATTGTAACAAATCCCCCCAATAAAGTATCAATGAATTGTAACTTTTCCCTCTCTATAGTGTTACTTTGTGTCCTTTACTGCCTCCAAACCATTCTCTGCATGAACTTTCTCTCTCCCGGGCTGCAGATGGCTGCCGGTCCGCTCAGGATGCTATTCCAGCATCCCAGGGAGGTCGAAACTGCGTTCCGCTGAACCGTGGATACGGAAACCCATCAGATCCCCGTATCCACGGGTCAACGGATCGTCCCAAAATCAGTGCCATTCTTCTCCTGGGCAGATTCTAAGACAGTGGTTCTCAACCTTCCTAATCCCGTGACCCCTTAATTCAGTCCCTCATGTTGTGGTGACCCCCAACCATAACATTGTTTTCGTTGCTACTTCATAACAGTCATTTTACTACTGTTATAAATCATAATGTAAATATCTGATATGCAGCATGTATTTTCATTCACTGGACCAAACTGGGCACAAATACCCAATACACCAGTGTTTCCCAACCTGGGGGTCGGGACCCCTGAGGGGGTCGCGAAGGGGTGTCAGAGGGGTCGCCAAAGACCATCAGAAAACACAGTATTTTCTGTTGGTCATGGGGGTTCTGTGTGGGAAGTTTGGCCCAATTCTGTCATTGGTGGGGTTCAGAACACTCCTTGATTGTAGGTGAACTATAAATCCCAGTATCTACAACTTCGAAATGTCAAAGTCTGTGTTCCCCAAATCCCATCAGTGTTCACATTTGGGTATACTGAGTATACGTACCAAGTTTGGTCCAGATCCATCGTTGTTTGAGCCCACAGTGCTCTCTGGATGTAGGCGAACTACAACTCCCAAACTCAAGGTCAACGCCCACCAAACCCAGTATTTTCTGTTGGTCATGGGAGTCCTCTGTGCCAACTTTGGTTCAATTCCATTGTTGGTGGGGTTCAGAATGCTCTTTGTTTACATATTAACTATAAATCCCAGCAACTACAACTCCCAAATGATGAAATCAATCCCCTCAACAACCCCACCAGTATTCAAATTTGGGCATACTGGGTATTTGTGCCAAATTTGTTCCAGTGAATGAAAATACATCCTGCAAATCATTATTTACATGGTAATTCATAATGTTAGGGTTATGGTTGGGGGTCACCACAACATGAGGAACCGTATTAAGGGGTCGCAGCATTAGGAATGTTGAGAACCACTGCAAAACACCCAAATGTGAATGGTAGTGGGTTTCGGGGAGGACTGATTTTGTAATTTGGGAGTTGTAGTTGCCGGGATTTATAGTTCACTTATAATCAAAGAGCATTCTGAACTCCACCAGCGATGGATTTGAGCCAAACTTGGCTCCCATGACCAACGGAAAACACTGGAAGGGTTTGATGGGCATTGACCTTGAGTTTGGGAGTTGTAGTTCACCTATATCCAGAGAGCACCGTGGACTCATGCAATGGTTGATCTGGACCAAACTTGGCACAAATACTCAATATGCCCAAATGTGAACACTGGTGGACTATGGGGGAAATAGATCTTGACATTTGGGAGTTGTAGTTGCTGGGATTTATAGTTCATTACAATCAAAGAACATTCTGAACTCCACCAATGATAGAATTGGCTCAAACTTCCCACATGGAATCCCCATGAGCATCAGAAAATACTGTGTTTTCTTATGGTCTTTGGTGACCCCTCTGACACCCCCTCGCGACCCCCTCAGGGGTCCCGACCCCCAGGTTGAGAAACACTGTTCTAAGACTAATGGCTATCTCGCTTTTGCTCTGCTAACCTCTCCGCCTCGGGAATAACCTTCTTCGCCCTCAAAAACTCAACATGGAGCCCAGCTGGCTCTCTGATGCCACCACGTCGTTGCTACAATCTCGCTGATGCCCATGGAGTCTGTTGATCTGGGGAACCTTTCTCGGTCATGCCTTGGGACCCCCTGAAGACCAGCGGGCTGTCCGGATCACTGATGTGGTGGGATCTGTAGTTTCTTTGCTCCCAATGTGGTTCCTGACCTCCAGCGCTGGCAGTCTGTCTCACCAGGGTAACTCTTTAAAGAGTCAGATTGGTCTCTGTCTCCTGGCAAAGACCCCTAAATTCCTACTCAATAACAATATGGCTTGGCAGTCTCCCACCCAAACACCATCCAGGGCCAGTCCTGCTTAGTTTCCAAGATCAGGCAGAACCTGGTGCCCTTTAGGGTTGGCTCCATAAAGTCATCTGCATAAAGACCCCAGGGCACCTTTTCCCCAACTTGTCCCTATGGATTCTGAAGCTTATCCAGAACTTTAATCAACTTTTGAGGACTTTTGGACACTTTTTTGGAACCTTTCCTTCTTTAAACCCCATGGACTCCCTTTTATGATTTTAGGATTTTATGATTTCATGGCTTTGGACTCTTTATGGACTCTGGTGGGTGGGGTAGGCCGATATGAATTTCTTCCCCCTTCCCCACCCCCCCCCCCAATTTATGCCTTATGAACTCTATATATGGGTGTATAAAATATGGAATGCCACCTTTTTGTGACCCCAGCATGACAAAGTCTTCCTTCCTATTTCCTGAGATGAATTCCCCATTGACCAAAGGACTCAACAAAGACTTATTGCATGACAGTAACAATGGTGCCCCTCAGAATTCTCGTGACCAACAGAAAACACTAGAAGGGTTTGGTGGGCATTGACCTTGAGTTTGGGAGTTGTAGTTCACCTACATCCAGGGAGCACTGGGGACTCAAACAATGATGGAAATGGACCAAACTTGACAAATACTAAATATGCCCAAATGTGAACAATGTTGGAGTTTGGGGAAAATAGACCTTGAAATTTGGGAGTTGTAGTTGCTGGGATTTATAGTTCACCTACAATCAAAGAGCACTCTGAACTCCACCGATGATGGACTTGAAGCAAACTTGGCACACAGAAATCCAACACCAAACAGAAAATACTGGAAGGATTTGGTGGGCATTTACCTTGAGTTTGGGAGTTGTAGTTCATCTACATCCAGAGAGAACTCTGGACTCAAACAATTGTGAATCTGAACCAAACCTGGCAAATACTCAATATGCCCAAATGTGAAGACTGGTGGAGTTTGGGGAACGTAGACCTTGACATTTGGGAGTTGTAGTTGCTGGAATTTGTAGGTCACCTACAATCAAAGACCACTCTGAACTCCACCGACAATGGAATTGAAGCAAACTTGGCACACAGAACTCTCGTGACCAACAGAAAACACTAGAAGGGTTTGGTCGGCATTTACCTTGAGTTTGGGAGTTGTAGTTCATCTACATCCAGGGAGCACTGGGGACTCAAACAATGATGGAAATGGACCAAACTTGGCAAATACTCAATATGCCCAAATGTGAAGACTGGTGGAGTTTGGGGAATGTAGACCTTGACATTTAGGAGTTGTAGTTGCTGGGATTTATAATTCACCTATAATCAAAGAGCATTTTGAACCTCACTAACGATAGAATTGGACCAAACTTCCCATCCAGAACCCCCATGACCAACAGAAAATACTGTCATGGTCGGAATCACTGGGTTGTTGTAGGTTTTTTCGGGCTATATGGCCATGGTCTAGAGGCATTCTCTCCTGACGTTTCACCTGCATCTATGGCAAGCATCCTCAGAGGTAGTGAGGATGCTTGCCATAGATGCAGGCGAAACGTCAGGAGAGAATGCCTCTAGACCATGGCCATATAGCCTGAAAAAACCAACAACAACCCAGAAAATACTGTATTTTCCGATGGTCTTTGGTGACCCCTCTGACATCCCCTCGTGACTCCCAGGAGTCCTGACCCCCAGGTGGAGAAACGCTGTCTCAACCGGTTCCCAGTCCACTTCACAATCCCATAATTTACCAGGTGAATTAGATGCAAAATTCAGCCTAGAATGGCATTGGCTTTTTCAGCTGGTGCATCACACTTTTGGCTCGTGCTCAGCTTGTGATTGACCAAAATTGCAAGCTTCATAGTCACTTTCCCCCAGGATGAAGAGCCATTGGAGGAAAACATTATTGAGGTAAACCAGTTCCCAATTCACTTCCCAATCCCATAATTTACGGCCCTAATTCCCAGTGTCAACACACCCCACGTGCAAGAGGCGCACGGCCGGCTTGCAGGGTTGCAATGACATTTCATGAGGAAGGACCGGAACCCGGCGCCTCTCTGCAAACCACAGGTCCCCACCCTCTCAGCCTCCGAGCAGGAAGCCGGTTGAGTCATTTGGGTTGCGTCTCTGGTGGGGCGCAGCATTGCCTCCCCAGAGGACCTTCGCCGCTCTTTTGGGGCCTCTCTCCGAAGAAGAACAAACACCAACACCATGGCGGAGCAGGAGAGCTGGGAGTTCGGCAAGGCGGACTTTGTGCTCCTGGACCAAGTCACCATGGAGGACTTCTTGGACAACCTCAAGCTCAGGTCAACGGAGGGAGGGTTGCCCGTTTTGCAAAGGGAAACCAGGGTGCAAGGCCAAAGAGGGACACAAGGCATGATTGGGATGCAACCAGGCAATTCACCAAAGGGAAGACCAAGATTCTGGCTTTGGCATCTATTGAAGCTAGTTGGGGACTAAGGGGGAGGGAGAGAGGGAAACCGGGACATTTGAAAAGCAGCTGGGAAAATTGGACGGCAGAGGATTAATAGGGACTCTTTCTACCAAATTAGTAGTAGTATTGCAGTGGTTCTCAACCTTCCTAATCCCGTGACCCCTTAATCCAGTCCCTCATGTTGTGGTGACCCCCAACCATAACATTGTTTTCATTGCTACTTCATAATGCTGCAGTCATTTTACTACTGTTAGAAATCATAATGTAAATATCTGATATGCAGCATGTATTTTCATTCACTGGACCAAACTGGGCACAAATACCCAATGCACCCAAATGTGAATGGTAGTGGGGTTGGGGGAGGACTGATTTTGTAATTTGGGAGTTGTAGTTGCTGGGATTTATAGTTCACTTATAATCAAAGAGCATTCTGAACTCCACCAGCGATGGATTTGAACCAAACTTGGCTCCTATGACCAACGTAAAACACTGGAAGGGTTTGATGGGCATTGACCTTGAGTTTGGGAGTTGTAGTTCACCTATTTCCAGAGAGCACCGTGGACTCATGCAACGGTGGATCTGGACCAAACTTGGCACAAATACTCAATATGCCCAAATTTGAACACTAGTGGAGTCTGGGGAAAATAGATCTTAACATTTGGGAGTTGTAGTTGCTGGGATTTATAGTTCATTACAATCAAAGAACATTCTGAACTCCACCAACGATAGAATTGGCTCAAACTTCCCACATGGAATCCCCATGACCTTCAGAAATACTGTGTTTTCTGATGGTCTTTGGTGATCCCTCTGACACCCCCTCGCAACCCCCTCAGGGGTCCCGACCCCCAGGTTGAGAAACACTGTAGTATTGGGTTGTTGTGAGTTTTTCAGGCTGTATGGGCATGTTGCAGAAGCATTCTCTCCTGACGTTTTGCCTGCATCTATGGCAGGCATCTTCAGAGATTGTGAAGTGTTCAGTTGACCTTATAGTTCCTTGATGAGGAATTTGACCCAGTCAAATGCCTCCCAATTGCCTTGATGTGGCCAAAATAATCTTTTATCACTCACTTTTTATTATTCTCTCACCAATTCTCTCACACCAGAAGCGACTTGCAGTTTCTCAAGTCGCTCCTGACATGACGAAGGAGCTGGGGGTGGTGACGGCCGACAGGGAGCTCTGGTGTGGGCTGGTCCATGAGGTCACGAAGAGTCGGAGACAACTGAACGAATGAACAACAACAACAACAACATATATATATATATATATATATATATATATATATATATATACACACACACACATACACATACACACACACACACACACACACATACACATACATATATACACATACATACATATATACTAGCCATCCCCTGCCATGCATTGCTGTGGCCCACATGGGGGTTCTGTGTGGGATGTTTGGCCCATTTCTGTTGTTGGTGGGGTTCAGAATGCTCTGTGATTGTAGGTGAACTATAAATCCCAGCAACTACAACTCCCAAATGTCAAGATTCTATTTTCCCCAAACTCCACCAGTGTTCACATCTGGGCATATTGAGTATTCGTGTAGAGTTTGGTCCAGATCCATCGTTGTTTGAGTCCACAGTGATCTCTGGATGTAGGTGAACTACAACTCCCAAACTCATGGTCAATGCCCACCAAACCATCCCAATATTTTCTGTTGGTCATGGGAGTTCTGCGTGCCAAGTTTGGTTCAATTCCATCGTTGGTGGAGTTCAGAATGCTCTTTGATTGTAGGTGAACTATAAATCCCAGCAACTACAACCCCCAATTGTCAAGATTCTATTTTCCCTAAACTCCACCAGTGTTCACATTTGAGCATATCGAGTATTCGTGTAGAGTTTGGTCCAGATCCATCATTGTTTGAGTCCACAGTGATCTCTGGATGTAGGTGAACTGCAACTCCAAAACCAAAGGACACTGCCCACCAAATCCTTCCAGTATTTTCTGTTGGTCATGGGAGTTCTGCATGCCAAGTTTGGTTCAATTCCATTTTGGTGGGGTTCAGAATGCTCTTTGATTGTAGGTGAACTATAAATCCCAGCAACTACAACTCCCAAATGACAAAATCAATTTTTTTGAGTGAAGGACATACATTTGGTTGTTAGGTGTCTTATGTCCAAATTTGGTGTCAATTTGTCCAATGGCTTTTGAGTTATGTTAATCCCACAAACGAACATTACATTTATATTTATATTATTTATATTTATATTTATATTTATATTTATATTTATATTTATATTTATATTTATATTTATATTTATATTTATATTTATACAAGTATTTATATGGAGCCCTCGGTGGCGCAGCGGGTTAAACCGCTGAGTTGCCGAACTTGCTGACCAATATATCGGCGGTTTGAATTCAGGTAGCGTGGTGAGCTCCTGCTGTTAGCCCCAGCTTTTTTGCCTAGTTTCCAACAGACCTCACAATCTCTGAGGGTGCTTGTCATAGATGCAGGTGAAATGTCAGGAGAGAATGCTTCTGGAACATGCCTGTATTTATTTATTTATTTTCTCAGCCAATCAGCGACTCAAGGCGACTACAGCCCGGAAAAACACACAACCCAATGTTTTCAGCCATGAAAGCCTTCGACAATACATTATTATTATTATTATTATTGTTATTGTTATTGTTATTGTTATTGTTATGGTTATGGTTATGGTTATGGTTATGGTTATGGTTATGGTTATGGTTATGGTTATGGTTATGGTTATGGTTATGGTTACGGTTATGGTTATGGTTATTTATATCACACTTTTCACCAAGACCAGAATTTGTAATTACAGACAGACAGAGATAGATAGATAGATAGATAGATAGATAGATAGGGATGTAAATATATAGAAGGGGTCATCTTGAGGTCATCTAGACCAGGCCTGGGCCAACTTGGGCCCTCCAGGTGTTTTGGACTTCAACTTCCATAAATCCCAGCCAGCTTACTGGCTGTTAGGAATTTTAGGAGTTGAAGTCCAAAATACCTGGAGGGCCAAAGTGTGCCCAGGCCTGCCAGAGACTTCTGTTTCTGCATCCAGGTGTGACAGGTGAGGTCTTGCAAGGTGAGGTAGGCTGTTAGGAATTGTGGGAGTCGAAGTCCAAAACACCTGGAGGGCCCAAGTTGGCCCAGGCCTGCCAGAGACTTCTGTTTCTGCATCCAGGTGGACTCACCTGCGACAGGTGAGGTCTTGCAAGGTGAGGTAAGCTGTTAGGAATTGTGGGAGTCGAAGTCCAAAACACCTGGAGGGCTCAAGTTGGCCCAGGCCTGCCAGAGACTTCTGTTTCTGCATCCAGGTGGACTCACCTGTGACAGGTGAGGTCTTGCAAGGTGAGGTAGGCTGTTAGGAATTGTGGGAGTTGAAGTCCAAAACACCTGGAGGGCTCAAGTTGGCCCAGGCTTGCTTTAGACTTCTGTTTAGCATCCAGGTGGACTCACCTGTGACAGGTGAGGTCTTTCAAGGTGAGACGTCCACCCTCATTTGCTCCCCTTTGGTTTCCTCCTTGCAAGGTTTGAGAAGGGGCGCATCTACACTTACATCGGGGAGGTGGTGGTCTCGGTGAACCCCTACAAAGCCATGGAGCTCTATGGGAAAGAGGCCATCGAACACTACCGGGGAAGGGAGCAATACGAGAGGCCACCTCACCTGTACGCAGTGGCCGATGCTGCCTACAAGGCTATGAAGCGGAGGGCCAAGGACACCTGCATCGTCATCTCAGGTGGGAAGCATCCCAGGTCATTGGCATCACTTGGGTGATAGAGGTAGTAGAATCATTGTAAGAGGCCCACAAAGGCCATCCAGTCCAACCCTCTTTCCACGAGGCAGGAAGGCACAATCAAATCCCTCCCGACAGAGGGCCATCCAACCTCAAAGACATAGGTAGATAGTTCATGGAGAGAAGAAGGACTTCAACCTCATGGAGATAAATAGAACTATAGAATTTGAAGTAGGACTTCAACCTCATAGAGGTAAATAGGACTATAGAATTTGAAGGGACCCCTAAAGGTCATCCAGTCCAACCCCCTTTCCACAAGGCAGGAAGGTACAATCTAATCCCTCCCGACAGAGGACCATCCGACCTCAAAGACGTAGATAGATGGTTCATGGAGAGAAGTAGGACTTCAACCTCATGGAGATGAATAGGACTATAGAATTTGAAGGGACTCCTAAAAGTCATCCAGACCAACCCCCTTTCCACAAGGCAGGAAGGCACAATCTAATCCCTCCCAACAGAGGACCATCCGACCTCAAAGACATAGATAGATGGTTCATGGAGAGAAGTAGGACTTCAACCTCATGGAGATAAATAGGACTATAGAAATTGAAGGGGCCCCCAAAGGTCATCCAGTCCAAACCCCTTTCCACGAGGCAGGAAGGCACAATCTAATCCGACAAAGGGCCATCCAACCTCAAAGACATAGATAGATGGTTCATGGAGAGAAGTAGGACTTCAACCTCATGGAGATAAATAGGACTATAGAATTTGAAGGGACCCCCAAAGGTCATCCAGACCAACACCTTTCTTTCCACGAGGCAGGAAGGCACAATATAATCCTTCCCAACAGATGACCATCCAACTTCACAGATGGAGAGAGAAACGATTCTAGAGTTGGAAGGGACTCCCAAAGGCCATCCAATCCAACCCCCTTCTTTCCATCAGGCAGGACAACACAATCTAATCCCCCCTGACAGCTGGCCATCAAATTTAATAGATGGTCAAGGTGAGAAATAGGATTATAGAATCATGGAAGGGACCTCAAAGGTCATCCAGTCCAACCTGCTTCTTTCCACCAGGCAGAAAGGCACAATCTAATCCCTCCCGTCAGATAGCCATCCAACTTCACAGATGGTTCATAGAGAGAAATAAGAAAGAAATCTCAATAAAAAGAGATTTAGCTGAATTCCAACTCCTAAATAGTTCTGTCGGAAAGTTATTCAAAATGTTTAAGTGGAATCCCTTTTCCTGCAACTTGATGCCTCTGGATGGGTTTGTCAAGACGCAGACTGAAGGGGCTTTGGGACTTGGGGCAATAGATCCACACAGCTTTGGGAATTGTAGCATCAGGCTGGGTCAGAAGTTTTCCTTCTCACTCACTCTTTGAACCTGCATTTTAGGAGAAAGCGGGGCCGGGAAGACCGAAGCCAGCAAGTACATCATGCAATACATTGCCGCCATCACAAACCCCACCCAGAGGGCAGAGGTCGAGAGGTAAGTGGGACGGATCTCACTCTTGGTGCAGAATCAATGCAACTCCTGCGCCTGGAAAATCAATCTCAGCATAATTTTCAGGCAGTTACTCTGAGAAAAGCGGTGAGAGGCCTTTCCCAGGAATGTGGCCTTGTGAATCTTCCTGAGACTTCATCTCAGTTCCGGACAGATGTTGACTCTCCTTAATTGGTGTTGGTAAACGTAAGGAACCTTGTGTTGACCTCCTTCGTAACGTAAGGAACTTTCTAAACATTTCCTTAACTTAAAGAGCCATTGTCTGTGATAATGTAAACACATTGATTTTCCCCAAAAGTTTAACATCAGCAATGTCAACACTTAATTATTTGTCACCATTCTCATCAGGAACTTTTAATTACATCCAATGAATTCTTCACCTCCTTCTTGCAGTTTTCCACTCTTTAGACTATATAGACCCCAACCATACATCTTGATACAATTCCATTCAAACCATGCATCATATTTCATGACACGATTTTGTTCGTTTCCCATGGTGTCCCTTTTCATTTCAGGGTGAAGGACGTGCTGCTGAAGTCCAACTGCGTCCTGGAGGCCTTCGGCAACGCCAAGACCAATCGCAACGACAACTCCAGCCGCTTTGGGAAGTACATGGACATTGACTTTGACTTCAAGGGGGACCCCACCGGTGGGCACATCCACAACTACCTCCTGGAAAAGGTACCAAAAGGGCCAACAAGATGACAGAAACAACAGGGGCCCATTCACCCTCTGCAGCCCCACTATCCCAGCAGATTTGGAAATGTCCCAGGATCTCTCTCTCCTCCTTGGTCCTCAGCTTATTCCCATTGCTGCAAATGGAGCTCAGAGCCTCATAGCAATCTGCACTCAGAATGCTGGCAGTGTTGACCACCACCACCACCACCACCACCATGTGATGTAATCGTCAGCCCACTTCCATGTTATGGAATCTTGGGATTTGTAGTTTGTTGTGGTCCTTGAATATCAGTTTATTCCCATTCCAGCAAGCTGATGCTTGGAGTGCCAAAGCATTCAGACGTATAGCAATTTGGCTTTACTTCCATGCCATTGAACCCTAGGAATTGTAGTTTGTTGTGATCCTTGATCCCCTGTTCATTCCCATTCGTGCAAGCTGATACTTAGAGTTCCAAAGCATCTGGATTTATAGCAATTTGACTTTACTTCCTGGGATTTATAGTTTGTTGTGGTCCTTGAGCCTTAGTTTGTTCCAATTGGTACAAGGTGATGCTTAGAATGCCAAAGAATTTGGGCTAATAGCAATTTGGCTTTACTTCCATGCTATGGAACCCTGGGATTTGTAGTTTCTTGTGGTCCTTGATTCCCATTTTATTCTCATTGCTGCAAACTGATGCTTGGAGTTCCAAAGCATCCAGATTTATAGCAATTTGACTTTACTTTCATGCCACGGAAGCCAGGGATTTATAGTTTGTTGTGGTCCACGAGCCTCAGTTTGTTCCAATTGCTTGCTTCCCTTTGCAGTCCCGCATCCTCAAGCAGCAGCCAGGAGAGAGAAACTTCCACGCCTTCTACCAGGTGAGCCGAAGTCCCATCATCCATGGTAACTGGTCATTCTTCGAGACTCGTTGCATCTACACTCCGGGATTAATGTAGTTTGCTATCACTTTAACTGCCATGGGTCAAATTCTATGGAATCCTGGGATTTATTTGGCAGAGAAGGCCAAGGACATTGTAAAACTACAATTCCTAGGATTACATTACATTGAGCCATGGCTATTTAAATGCTATCAGACTGCATTGTAAATTGAATTATTATTATATTTTATTAGCGTTATTATATGTAGCATTATACTTGATAAATGCATTTATTATATTATTATTATATTTTATTACCATTTAAATATTTAATATATT